CGGTCTCCGCCACGCGCCTCGTGAGTGGCACGACACACTGAGGACTACACTTGCGGCTCTTGGGTTCGCGCCTTCTACTGCTGACCCGTCGCTGTTTTTGCGCACCGACACTTCGCTGCCGCCGTTCTACATCCTCGTGTATGTCGACGACTTGGTCTTTGCCACTGCTGACACTGAGGCTCTCGCCCACGTGAAGTCCGAACTGCAGAAGAGACACACGTGCACAGATCTGGGTGAACTGCGAAGCTACCTTGGCTTGCAGATCACCCGGGACCGAGCACGCCGCACCATCACACTGACTCAGTCACACATGGTGCAGCAGGTCCTTCAGCACTTCGGCTTCACCTGGTCCTCAGCACAGGCCACTCCTCTGGCCATAGGTCACTCGCTCTCAGCTCTGCCTTCGGATGAGTCCGTAGAGCCGAGTGGTCCTTACCCAGAGCTAGTTGGTTGCCTCATGTACCTGATGACTTGCACTCAACCTGACCTAGCGTACCCTCTTGGCCTTCTGGCTCGCTACGTGGCTCCTGGTAGGCACCGAAAGGTGCACTGGGATGCTGCGAAGAGGGTATTGCGCTACTTGTGCAGTACATCGGGCATGGGGCTCGTGCTTGGAGGAGGGAGCCCAGTTGTTCTCACTGGGCACTCAGACGCTTCTTGGGTTGACGACCAGGCTACTCAGCGGTCGTCACAGGGTTACACCTTCAGTCTTGGCTCTGGCTTAGTTTCTTGGCGTTCTACACGTTCGTCTTCAGTTCTCAGCTCCAGTTGTGAGGCTGAGATCTACGCCACAGCCATGGCTGCTCAGGAGTTACGCTGGCTCACCTACCTGCTGACCGACCTGGGAGAGCGGCCTCGTTCTCCTCCAGTGCTGTACGTCAACAACAAGGCTGCCATTGCCTTGTGTGAGGAGCACAGACTGGAGCAGAGAACGAAGCACATCGCTCTGCGGTACTTTCTGGCTCGAGAGTTGCAGCAGTGTGGTCAGCTTCGTCTGCGTTACGTGGCCACTCAGGCCAACACTGCTGATATATTCACCAAGGCACTCCCGCCTAGTGATCATCAGCGTTTCTGCACTTTGTTAGGGCTTGTGCCCACTTTTCCTCACTTGCTGTAGACTTTGCGTGTACTGTGATCTATAAATAAATATATATATATATACCTGCATGCTTGCTAGATATAGATCACTGTGATGCTTGTGTTACATATATGCCTCTGCATGTGAACTGGCCTTGTGGCTCTTTGCTTGTGCTCAGAGTGTGTGGTGACGTTGTGGTCCACCCTGAGCTTGCTTGCCTTCCTTGACTGGTCTTGTGACCCCTTGCTCTCCCCCACTTTGCCTATGGGGGTGTGTCAAACAATATACTTGTGTTATTGCTGTGTAGGCTACAGTGGGTTAGCCTTTAGGGGGTACACAATTCTAGGGTTTCATACTTGTACTCCCATCTTCTCATAGTTCAACACTTCTCTCATTCTGACACCTACGTTTCCACACTTGCTGTAGACTCTGCTTGTACTGTGATCCATATATATGTACCTGCATGCTTGCTCTTGCTAGGTAGTGATCACTGTACTGTTCTTGTTGCATATATACCTCTGCATGTAAACTGGCCTTGTGGCCCTTTGCTTGTGCTCAGTGTGTGTGGTGACGTTGTGATCCACCCTGAGCTTGCTTTGTTTCTCTTGACTGGTCTTATGACCCCTTGTTCTCCCCCACTTTGCCTATGGGGGTGTGTCAAATTATGCATGCTGTATTTGTGTAGGCTGTAGTGGGGTAGCCAATATGGGGTACAACCCCTCTAGGGTTTGATACTTGTACCAAACTCTCTTTCAATGCAACTCATTCCTGCCTGTAGTTTCTAACAACCTTCTATAACTAGCAATGGGGCAGATGAATGATATGCAAGCAGACCAAACTCTTATTTTCAGGTCTAAGATTATGTTGGAACTAAGTACTACTCGTTTTGCATAATGTACTTGCTGCTGTGATCAAGCTTTGAACTGTAAGGAAGTTTTCAGCATTCCTTACTGTTAAGATAGTAGAACGAAAGATAGAACAGAGAAGAGGGTTTTGCACTAGCAGCATGCAAGGTACATATAGGAAACCCTAATTTGGGTTGTACTCGCTATAGAGTACCCCACTGCAGGCTAGACAATTACAACATTCTGACACACCCCCATAGCCAAAGTGGGGTGTAATCAGCACAAATAACCAGTCATAGATCAAGTCCACAAATGCAAGTAAAGCTAGAGGCAGTCACAGAGGGCAAGTGAGGAGGAGGAGAGACTGTGAGGGGCGATCTGCTGCAGGCGATGGGCGAAGCTGCAGACACAACGGGCAACAGGAGCGGCGCGCACAGTGGCTACCGAGCGCACGAGGGCACCGGACTACGGGAGTATCTGGCTCCGCGGCTACGACGAGCACACACAGGAGCAACTGACCCACAGGCGACTGGCGAAGCAGGCTCGCTGGGCTACCGAGAGCACGACGGCTCCGGACTACAGGCGCTGCAGACGACACGACAGCGACCTCCACTCTCCCCCCCCTAACAGTCCCACACCCCCTTCTCACACACCCCTTGCTGCACCCCTAGATCCACTTCTCACGTCACCCCCCTAGCACCACTCCTTCGGCTCCCACACACCCACCCCCCTGAGCGGCAGCTGCAGCAGCGGGAGACGGAGGAGGAGGAGGAGTAGGGGACGGGGCACACAACCGGCACCCCCACAACCGCCACCCCCACACTCATCACCCCCGAAACCCTAAAACGGGTGGGATAGGGGCAGGAGCGCGGGGGATGGTGAGGGGGGATGGCGCGCGACCCCCAGGGCGCCAGAACGGACGGGCTGGGCGGGTGGAGGGGGGTGGCGCGCGCTGCTCCCCAGGGCGCCGCGACGGACGGGCGGGGGGGACGCGCGCGCGACTCCCCAGGGCGCCGCGACTGCCTGGCGGGGCGCGCGCGGGCTCCCGAGGGCGCCGCGACGAACTGGCGGGGCGCGCGCGGGCTCCCCTGGACGTCGCGACGAACGGGCGGGGCGTTCGCGGGCTCCCCAGTGCGTCGCGACGGACGGGCGGGGCGCTCGCGGGCTCCCCAGGGCGTCGCGACGGACGGGCGGGGCGCTCGCGGGCTCCCCAGGGCGACGCGACGTGCAGGGTGGGGGCCGCGAGTGCTCCCCAGGGCGCCGCGACGGACGGGCGGGGCGCGCGCGGGCTCCCCCACGGCAGGAAACCGCCGCGCGCGCTCGGGGCGCGCGGCGGGATGAAAATGTGAAGGTCGCGCGCCACGGGGCGCGCGACACAGAGTAGGGCAGCGGAAGCAGCAGTGGGGCCCACAGGCCAGGAGCGTGAACGCTCTGTTACCATGTCAAGATAGTAGAACGAAAGATAGAACAGAAAAGAGGGTTTTGCACTAGCAGCATGCAAGGTACATATAGGAAACCCTAATTTGGGTTGTACTCGCTATAGAGTACCCCACTGCAGGCTAGACAATTACAACATTCTGACACTTACCGCATATGTCAACATCGCGTACCGTGCAGGACCAACCTTTTCTATGCCCGGTACTGCTCTAGGCATTTTGCCACCTTAGCGCGTCACAATCCCCAAACCACACTGTTGGACCGGCCTGAGTTGGCCTACGCTTCGGGACTAGCCCGAACTTCACTGCCAGGATCATACCAGCTACCTAGCTTGCACGCACTGCGGTACCGTTCGCCTCTCTATAAGCATTAGCTCATACTTCGTACTCGTTTGCCAACTTAGTGCAATCATCTCCTAGATACATTGCACTCGTAAAGATGAACAAACATCTTCGTTCGGTATGAGCAGTTGTATATTCGCACATTGGCTTGTCGCTTTGACCTCCTTACAAGCCTTCAAGCCAATCACAGCCTGTCAAACCTGGTCGTCGTCGCTGACGTCAAGCCGGGTGTGTTCGACGTGGAGAAACTGCTGTTGGTCTCCCGCCGTCATGTCAAGGATGAAGCAAGATCCGTTGCTACAGTGGACATTGATCATGTGAGTCCACGCGGAATGCTGAGAAACTGACGTCAACGCGGCATCACCTGCGAGGACCCGTATTGGTCAGTTTGAGAATGTGTCCACATCTCTGACCGACACGTCAGAGCCGCGTGATGGTGTTGCTGTCGCGTGGCGGGCTGAACCCTCCACGGTGTCTTGCTGCCCATAGCAGGAAGTTGCACGGTTCCGGAGAGAGGCCAATGGCGTTCAAGGGGGCAAACGACCTTGGAAGTTGTTGCGCGTCAGCATGCCCCTCCCCCAGTTGGGTTCGGTTATGTGGGACGCGGAGGTTGCATTTCTTCTTGCTTCTTCCTACATTCGACTGATGGGGGGCACCAGACCAGCACGAGCACAGAACATCAACCACCCCCAACCTGTTTCCATCCAGCACATTCATTTTCGGTTCCTATACCGTACGCTTCGGTTCGCTGCGTCTCAGCAAAATTACGAACTGGAACCGTGTTCAAACGCGAGGAACCCAACTGTACCGCTCTTTCAGAAAGAACAACACACCAAGACGCCAACCGCTCTTTCACAACTGAACCTCGGCTGTCCTCGCTCGGATTAGCCTTGCGCTTCCAATCTACATTCACTGGTCCAGTTTCCTCGCAGTCATTTCTTTTCAAAGCCCAGCAAGTCCCTAGACAGATAGACCATACCTAGAACATACAGAGGCAGAAGGTTGAAACCTAGGTGCTAGCAGAACCTATCTCCATCCGTTTTCTTTCATGATTTTCAATTTCAAGGTTGTCCCGAAATGTCTACCCCCCAAGGTATAGCAGCGGGAGCACAGAACCAGTCCGTGGCTGCCGCAGCCGCCGGATTCTCCACCAGCGTCAGCGCCGTGCTCTCCGTATTCGTTATTCTCTTCATCTTCCTCTTCTTTTTCGTTATGGTCATCCGCGCGTGTCTCTTGGTGCTAAACGCACGCGATTCTCGAGGTCCGCATGATCGCACACTCACCTTGGAAGAACACATGATGCATCGCTCGCAACTCAGCGCGATACAAAAAGCGCCGACGGCGGGACTCGATCCCGAGATCGTTCAGGCGCTGCCGACTGTTACTTTCGCCCGCGAAAAGCTTCGCGAAGGCTGCTGCGAAAGCTTCCGCGAGTGTGCGGTGTGCCTTGGGGAATACGAGGAAGGGGAGTGTATCAAGACGCTACCATCCTGCGGACACAGATTCCACGCCACATGTATCGACATATGGTTCTGTGCGCATACCACGTGTCCCATCTGCCGATTCAACTTAAAACCGCCGAAACCGCCGGGCCAGCAGGAAGACTCGCAAGGTCCGGCGACGGATGCAGGCGATGCAGGCGGCGCAGGCGAGAGACATGCGACGGCTAGCGACGAGGTGGATGCGTCGGCGACAGTGAATGAGTCAACAGCGGATAGCGTTAGCATTCAAGTCGAAACTATTGATGATTCCCAGCAGCAGCACGAAATTGTCGTGGTTGGAACAACAACAGAAATGGATGATTCACCAAGAGCGTTCGCGCCATCGCCAGCGGCACGGTCAGTGGCAGTTGCTGCAACAGAGGAAGCAGATGCGTTTTCCGCAGCAGCGGCAGTGGCAACAGCAGAAACGGATGCGCCATGCGAGCCAGCGGGGATTAGGGTTCCAGCAGTAGTAGATTCATCAGCATTACAACAAGCAGCAGTAGTTCCGCAAAGAAGACGAAGCGGAGAGGCAGACAGAAGGCGTTTGCAAAGTGGGGAGGGTCAGGAGGATGAGGAAAGTCTGGTAGGTCAGGAGAAATCGCAGGAGATGAGCGGATCTTGGACGGAAATTGCGTTGACAGCAGAGAATGATACGAGTTTAAGTGACTCGAGGAGGTTAGAGGAGCTGCGGCGGTTTCTAGGGGTGACGGATGAGGAGGAATCAGGGTTGAAAGAGGGGAGGGTTGATTGGGAGTTGGGGTTGGGAGGGGGGGAGAGCAGCGGAGGGAATACATTGTGTGTCAGAATAGAGGTATAAGGGGGTAAGTGTAAGGAATCCGACACAAGCGACTCTCGGAAAGGTAGAGTGAGTTCCTCAACAGTTTAGTAGGGTAAGGTATGGTTGGATGCGGTACAACAGGATGGCCTACGGTAGGGTTAGCTCTGATGATGCCTCGATCCTCGCTCTGGGTATTTGGCTGGAAAGGCACTTGTAAATACTGGAGCATCGTCATGAGTCCTCAGAACTGCATGCGACAATGAAGACGTTTTACTGGGTACGGTATAGGTCAGTTGAAGTTCGTGCATGCTATGATTTGAAACAGATCTCTCTGTAGGCTGTAGGTGACACAGTCACTGACGTTTTTGTTTAGAGCACAGCAGGTTCAGCGTATGTGTTGCTGGCCAATCATTCACTGACTGTTGTCTAAACATCATCCAACCCCCATCCCATCAATTTGCATGTACATATTGCTGGCAAGTATGTGAGTTGGCGTGGTACCGTACTTAAAAAAAACCCTCCAACATTGTGCCCATGCTCCACTACTATCACATGTGAATCTGGTATTGAATCCACCATTCTAGCTTCCTAGGTAACCCATGTACACATTATTGCGCCTTTGAGCTTAGTAGGGGCGTTTTATATTGTCTTCCACCCCCAGCTGCACCAAGCCTGCTGCTCTGCATGAGCTGCCCCACACATCTTTTGTTCTCCATGGTTCCCCTATACTCTGAATACTTCCTCACAATGATCCCCAGCTTCAAATGCATATATGGTATTACTTATTGATTGGTTGGGTTAGCTAAATGCTACATGTGCATGTTCCGCTCGTTTCACATAGCTAGAATGCATATTATCTTGAAGTTTGGATGTCCTAATTCATATGCATGATGGGATAAACCTAGTGTAATGATATTCTATTACGCCGCATCAAACGGTCTTGCACAATAGCGACTTTCATCTCCACATTTCTTGGATGATTTTTGAACTGTACGTACACGGAGGGACGACATCACCCAGTTCGGGGAATACGGTTGTTTCTGGATGATTTTTGAACTGTGCGTACCTGCCTCCTCGTTGAGCCCCCTTCGTTTCACAAAGCCGCGTACGACCGTACCATCCAATTTGACACGGCAAACTACTCCCCCCCCCCCTCCCCCCTTCTCTTCCCCGTACGCGCTCGGCAGTGGCGGGATTGCCGAGCGGGAAACAAGTCGGTTTTGATCTCTCTGAGTCGGTTTTGATCGTTCCATCCCATTGTCTTTGCGCTGAGAATAGCGCGTCCCAGCGGCTAACGGTCGCCTTTCCAGTTGCCGATCACGAGAGCACCACTACAGTCTGTACGCGGCGATGGAAATCCCGACCGCTGCAGAACGTGCAGCAACGTACTTAACCGCTTTTTTCGAAGAGAACATCAATTTTCTCGTCACCCTTGGAAATGGAGCTGCTCACGTTTCTCGGTTTCCTGAGACCTGAGCCATGGCGGCGTGCTCCTGGTGGAATGACCTTTCTTTGCCCGCAGGAGTCCGTCATTGATTTAGGTGGCGACGCAGCAAGCTTGTTACGGGAGGGGACTAGACTGGTTTTGCTTCAGCGAAACCTTAGCTTGTTTTTTCGGCGGGGAATCCAATGGTTTTCTGTCCAATGATATACTTCTAGACACCACAAGAGAAATTCTTTCTTTTGTGCTTGCTTCCCTGAGCAGCAGCAGCGTGTGGCTCATGCGAATGGAGTATCAGTAGTTAAAACGTGTCCGCGCATCGAGTTTCTCGGAGGCGTCGCGATTAGTTTCTAAGCAGACTGCTTCCTTTTTTTTGAGAGAACAGACGCATATTTGGATTAGTTACAGCCATTTTTTCATGACCTTACTGTTACGACACCTTGATTCAGCTTACTAGTTCTTAAAGGAGGCTTTTTGAAAAGCAAGATTCAATATAGATTGATGAAGTAGGTGATTTAGCGAAGCTTTTCTAGATCACCGTTAGAACACCTTCAAGGTTCGGAACACCACTATGTTACCTTGAAGTGCCATTAGGTCGTTACCAGGGGTGACCACCAGAAACGCCTGTTACATCTTGAAGCTTCTTCCCGAATTGCAGCTGAAGGCAGGATAATGAAGAATGGGACCGGCACTTAGGCAGGACGGTCAAGGAGGCGCCTGAAACTAGACTATTTCCAGTTGAACTTACGGTTGTGATCTCTGGGGGTACGGGTACTGACTCCCAACCCTTTCGCCGAAACCGTTTCGCGGCTTTCTACAGCTTTTGCCGACACCGTTCGTGAGCTCCTTGGCGATGGCTCGGCGATGGTCGGCGACGGCAGTGAAGCTGACGCTAATCATCACCGCCATCGCATTGTTACTCTGGCGAAGCCCGTTACAACCTCCGTTACAACCTCTCGTCATCCCCTCAGAAAGGCTATTAGAGGTTCCCCCATCTCATTCCTCCGCCCCCTTTCCCCCCTCCTCCGCCTCCTCGTCATCCTCGTTTTCAGCGTCTTCGATTTCCGGTAGCGAATTTCCCGCGCTGGCATCAACGTCTGATGCGACGGCCGTCGGTCCGAACAGACGACTGCTTTCGTCGTCGCCAGTCGAGATTGAGATCCATGCGACGGAGATACCATGGTCCGAACAACAGTCTGAGCGACAGTCCGTGCGACAGTCTGTGCGACTGGATGTGCGACACCCTCAGGGATCGTCTGAACGGGCTCCCGCGCCGAGCCATTCACCCGACACCAATTTCGTTATAAGCACAACAACGAGCGATCCAGCGTCTTCCGCGCACAACGTCTCCGCATTCCCCGCCGCTTCCCCTCCCACCAAGCGGAAAATCTCCGCGCTGCTCCCGCACGACCCCGCGCCCGGGAACTGCTCCGCGCCGATCCACGGCTCCCCCGCGGAGCAATGCGCTGCCGCGCGCGCAGAAGCCGCCTGCCGCAGCGGCGCGCAGCTGGAATACCTCCAATTCTTCTACTGCACGTTTGAAGGAAGCCCGGTATTGGGTGTAGCGCTGCTGCTGACGTGGCTGGCGGCGCTGATTTTCCTCCTAGGGAATGTCGCGGCGGATTTTTTCTGCCCCTCGTTAGAAGAACTCGCGGAGCTGCTGCGGCTGCCGCCCGCTGTAGCGGGGGTTACGCTGCTGCCGTTGGGGAATGGCGCGCCTGACGTGTTCGCCAGGTGAGGGTGGGGAGAATGGGGATGATGAAAAAGGTGGTGGAGAGGAAGAGGGTTTGAGGGAGGGACAGGGGCTGTTGTAGCGGGGGTTACGCTGCTGCGGCTGGGGAATGGCGCGCCTGACGTGTTCGCCAGGTGAGGGTGGGGAGAATGGGAAAGTTGGGGAGGGTGGTGGGTTGAGGGAGAGGGGGTGTGCGTGTGAGAGAGAGGGGAATGTTGTGGATGGGAACGGGGGCCGTCGTAGCGGGGATGACGCTGCTGATGCTGGGGAATGGCGCTCCTGACGTTTTTGCCAGGTGAGAAATGGGGGGAAGGTAGGGTTGGGGAGGATGGGGAATGGGGGTGTTGATGGGGTAGGGCGAGAAGAGTTCGTGATAGAGAGGAAAGGAAAGGCGAGGGAGGGACAGGGCAGTGCAAGGGAAAGGAGCCGTTGTAGGGGGCGTGACGGCGTGACGCTGCTGCCGCTGGGGAAGGCAAAGATAGGAGAGGGGAGGCGGGGGTGATGACGAGTCTCGGAGGGTGAGGGGGGAGAGGGTAGCGGGGATGGGGAGGATGCCGGAGGGGGGTGGTGATGGGGAGTCGAGGGCTTGTGATAGATAATGCGAGGGAAAGGGGCCGTTGTAGGGCCGCTGTAGCAGGGGTGACGCTGCTGCCGCTGGGGAATGGCACTCCTCCTGATGTGCCATGCAAGTGCAGGGAGTGTTTTGAGACGTCTCAAAACACTTCTTCAAACAGGTGACGCTGCTGCCGCTGGGGAATGGCACTCCTCCTGATGTGCCATGCAAGTGCAGGGAGTGTTTTGAGACGTCTCAAAACACTTCTTCAAACAGGTGACGCTGCTGCCGCTGGGGAATGGCACTCCTCCTGATGTGCCATGCAAGTGCAGGGAGTGTTTTGAGACGTCTCAAAACACTTCTTCAAACAGGTGACGCTGCTGCCGCTGGGGAATGGCACTCCTCCTGATGTGCCATGCAAGTGCAGGGAGTGTTTTGAGACGTCTCAAAACACTTCTTCAAACAGGTGACGCTGCTGCCGCTGGGGAATGGCACTCCTCCTGATGTGCCATGCAAGTGCAGGGAGTGTTTTGAGACGTCTCAAAACACTTCTTCAAACAGGTGACGCTGCTGCCGCTGGGGAATGGCACTCCTCGTGATGTGCCATGCAAGTGCAGGGAGGGTGGGGTGGGATTGAAAAAGTGAAAGGGGGAATTCTGAACATGTGAGAGGGAATTTCCTCTTCCTCCCCCTCCCTCTACTCTTTCTTCTCTCCTCCCTTCCCTCTCACCATCTCTTTCAGGCTGGAGTCGTTTCTAGGAAAAGGACATTAGAACGCTCTCCCTCCACTTTTCCGTCATCCTCAGGTCATCCCCAGATTCCCCCTCGTCCCCAGCTTCCCTATTTCCCCCCTTCCCTTCTCTTTCCTCCCTTTTCTCCCATCATCTCTTGCAGTGTGGTGGCGTTTGTGGGAAAAGGACATCAGAGTCCCTCTCGCCACTCTTCCCGCTCATCCGTGGCTTCCCCCTCATATCCCCATTCCCTCTCTTTCCCGCTTTTCCCTCTCTCACATCACCTCTTGCAGTGTGGTGGCGTTTGTGGGAAAAGGACATCAGAGTCCCTCTCACCACTCTTCCCGCTCATCCCTGGCCTCCCCCTCATATCCCCATTCCCTCTCTTACCCGCTTTTCCCTCTCTCACATCACCTCTTGCAGTGTGGTGGCGTTTGTGGGAAAAGGACATCAGAGTCCCTCTCACCACTCTTCCCGCTCATCCCTGGCCTCCCCCTCATATCCCCATTCCCTCTCTTACCCGCTTTTCCCTCTCCCTCACCATCTCTTGCAGCGTGGTTGCGTTTGTGGGGAAAGGACATCAGAGCCTGGTGGGCTTCAACGGCGTTTTGGGGGCGGCGTGTTTCGTCTCCACCGTGGTGGCCGGCTCGGTTTGTCTTGTAGCGGCCAGCAAGGCTCCGAGGGTGCAGTTGCACAGATCGTCCTTTACACGAGACCTGACGTTCTTCCTCCTCGCTGTCTTGGTGCGTTTCTTCCACCTTTGCACACCCCTCGTTACTGTCACAAACTCAGTTGCACACCTCTCATATAGGCACAGTGGCACCTGTTGTCCTTTGTCACGCTTCTGAACTTCTTCCTCCCTGCTCGCCTGGTGTGTGTCTTCTGCTGTTGTCCCGCCCTCGTGATTGTCACAATTTGATTCAACTTGTTACACCACCCTTGGTGTAAGTATTGCCACTTCCCTCCTTCGGTCTTCCCCCCCCGTCAAAGAACAACCCTAGCTAACCACCCCTGGTTCGCACAATCCACCCTCCTCCTCCCTCTCGCATTTCCCTCACTCACTCACGTGCTCTCCACATTCACTAATGCACTCTCCTCACTCACATACGCACACTCCTCACTCACATACGCACACTCCTCACTCACTCGCGCACTCCTCACTCACATACGCACACTCCTCACTCACTCGTGCACTCCTCACTCACATACGCACACTCCTCACTCACTCGCGCACTCCTCACTCACATACGCACACTCCTCACTCACTCGCGCACTCCTCACTCACATACGCACACTCCTCACTCACACTCGCACACTCCTCACTCACTCGCGCACTCCCCGCCCCTTCCCCTACCCTCACTGGCCCTGTGTGTGCTGGTGTGGCAGCGCATGGTGCGTCTGCCCTGCGCACTTCTCGCCTCCTCCATCTAACCCGCCTACTTCCTTCCTGCCTGCTCTCCTCAACCGCTCATCACCCATACGTTGCTCTGCCCTCTCCATCCACCCCACCCCCACCCCCACCCCCACCCCCACCCCCACCCCTCACCACACTCCCCTCTCCCCCTCACAGGCCCTGTGCGTGCTGGTATGGCAGCGCGCAGTGCATCCACCCCACGCGCTGCTCTTCTTTGCCATCCACCCCGCCTACTGCCTTGCTGCCGAGCTCTCCTCAATCACCCACACGTTGTCTTGCCCCCCACCCCTCACAGGCCCTGTGCGTGCTGGTATGGCAGCGCGCAGTGCATCCACCCCACGCGCTGCTCTTCTTTGCCATCCACCCCGCCTACTGCCTTGCTGCCGAGCTCTCCTCAATCACCCACACGTTGTCTTGCCCCCCACCCCTCACAGGCCCTGTGCGTGCTGGTATGGCAGCGCGCAGTGCATCCACCCCACGCGCTGCTCTTCTTTGCCATCCACCCCGCCTACTGCCTTGCTGCCGAGCTCTCCTCAATCACCCACACGTTGTCTTGCCCCCCACCCCTCACAGGCCCTGTGCGTGCTGGTATGGCAGCGCGCAGTGCATCCACCCCACGCGCTGCTCTTCTTTGCCATCCACCCCGCCTACTGCCTTGCTGCCGAGCTCTCCTCAATCACCCACACGTTGTCTTGCCCCCCACCCCTCACAGGCCCTGTGCGTGCTGGTGTGGCAGCGCGCAGTGCATCTACCCCACGCGCTGCTCTTCTTTGCCATCTACCCCGCCTACTGCCTCTCTGTGGCCCTCTTGTCAACCACTTCCCAACCACACGGCGCTCTGTTCCCCTCCCCTCCCCCCCTCACAGGCCCTGTGAGTTTAGTATGGCAGCGGGCGGTGCATCTACCCCATGCGCTGCTGTGTTTTGCCATTTACCCCGCCTACTGCCATACTGCTGCCTGCCTGCTCTTGTCAACCACTCACATGGTTGCTCTACTCCCTCCCTCCTCCCCACCCACGCCCTGTGCGTGTTAGTATGGCAGTGCGCGGTGCATCTACCCCATGCGCTGCTGATTTGAGGCGCCTCAAAACTAGACTGTGTGTGTTGGTATGGCAGCGCGCGGTGCACATACCTACCGCATGCGCTGCTCTGCTTCGCCATCTACCCCGCCTACTGCCTTGCTGACCCCTTCTCCTCTATCACCGTTTGCTCCCCCACCCCCACCCCCACCCCCACCCCCATCCCCACCCCCACCCCCTTCCTCATCCCACCGTACTCCCCTCCCAGGCCCTGTGTGTGCTGGTGGCAGTGTGCGGTGCATTTTTGAGTCGACTCAAAAGTCACCTCATCCCACCGTACTCCCCTCCCAGGCCCTGTGTGTGGTGGTGGCAGTGTGCGGTGCATCTACCCCACGCGCTGCTCTTCTTTGCCATCTACCCCGCCTACTGCCTCTCTGTGGCCCTCTTGTCAACCGCTCCCCAACCTCACATTGCTCAGCTCCCCTCCCCTCCCCCCAACAGGCCCTGTGCGTGTCAGTATGGCAACGCGCGGTGCATCTACCACACGCGCTTCTCTTCTTTGCCATCTACCCCGCCTACTGCCTCGCTGTCGCGCTCTCCTCAATCACATGCTGCTCTGCTCCCTCTATTGCCCCCTCCCCCTCTTTCCCCTCCCCTGACAGGCCCTGTGCGTGTCAGTATGGCAACGCGCGGTGCATCTACCACACGCGCTTCTCTTCTTTGCCATCTACCCCGCCTACTGCCTCTCTGTCGCGCTCTCCTCAATCACATGCTGCTCTGCTCCCTCTATTGCCCCCTCCCCCTCTTTCCCCTCCCCTGACAGGCCCTGTGCGTGTCAGTATGGCAACGCGCGGTGCATCTACCACACGCGCTTCTCTTCTTTGCCATCTACCCCGCCTACTGCCTCTCTGTCGCGCTCTCCTCAATCACATGCTGCTCTGCTCCCTCTATTGCCCCCTCCCCCTCTTTCCCCTCCCCTGACAGGCCCTGTGCGTGTCAGTATGGCAACGCGCGGTGCATCTACCACACGCGCTTCTCTTCTTTGCCATCTACCCCGCCTACTGCCTCTCTGTCGCGCTCTCCTCAATCACATGCTGCTCTGCTCCCTCTATTGTCCCCTCCCCCTCTTTCCCCTCCCCTGACAGGCCCTGTGCGTGTCAGTATGGCAACGCGCGGTGCATCTACCACACGCGCTTCTCTTCTTTGCCATCTACCCCGCCTACTGCCTCTCTGTCGCGCTCTCCTCAATCACATGCTGCTCTGCTCCCTCTATTGTCCCCTCCCCCTCTTTCCCCTCCCCTGACAGGCCCTGTGCGTGTCAGTATGGCAACGCGCGGTGCATCTACCACACGCGCTTCTCTTCTTTGCCATCTACCCCGCCTACTGCCTCTCTGTCGCGCTCTCCTCAATCACATGCTGCTCTGCTCCCTCTATTGTCCCCTCCCCCTCTTTCCCCTCCCCTGACAGGCCCTGTGCGTGTCAGTATGGCAACGCGCGGTGCATCTACCACACGCGCTTCTCTTCTTTGCCATCTACCCCGCCTACTGCCTCTCTGTCGCGCTCTCCTCAATCACATGCTGCTCTGCTCCCTCTATTGTCCCCTCCCCCTCTTTCCCCTCCCCTGACAGGCCCTGTGCGTGTCAGTATGGCAACGCGCGGTGCATCTACCACACGCGCTTCTCTTCTTTGCCATCTACCCCGCCTACTGCCTCTCTGTCGCGCTCTCCTCAATCACATGCTGCTCTGCTCCCTCTATTGTCCCCTCCCCCTCTTTCCCCTCCCCTGACAGGCCCTGTGCGTGTCAGTATGGCAACGCGCGGTGCATCTACCACACGCGCTTCTCTTCTTTGCCATCTACCCCGCCTACTGCCTCTCTGTCGCGCTCTCCTCAATCACATGCTGCTCTGCTCCCTCTATTGTCCCCTCCCCCTCTTTCCCCTCCCCTGACAGGCCCTGTGCGTGTCAGTATGGCAACGCGCGGTGCATCTACCACACGCGCTTCTCTTCTTTGCCATCTACCCCGCCTACTGCCTCTCTGTCGCGCTCTCCTCAATCACATGCTGCTCTGCTCCCTCTATTGTCCCCTCCCCCTCTTTCCCCTCCCCTGACAGGCCCTGTGCGTGTCAGTATGGCAACGCGCGGTGCATCTACCACACGCGCTTCTCTTCTTTGCCATCTACCCCGCCTACTGCCTCTCTGTCGCGCTCTCCTCAATCACATGCTGCTCTGCTCCCTCTATTGTCCCCTCCCCCTCTTTCCCCTCCCCTGACAGGCCCTGTGCGTGTCAGTATGGCAACGCGCGGTGCATCTACCACACGCGCTTCTCTTCTTTGCCATCTACCCCGCCTACTGCCTCTCTGTCACACTCTTGTTTACCACTCCCCAACCTCATGTTCCTCTGCTCCCCTCCCCTCCTCCCCTCACAGGCCCTGTGCATGCTGGTGTGGCAGCGCGCAGTGCATCTACCACACGCCCTTCTCTTCTTCGCCATCTACCCCGCCTACTGCCTCGTGGTCGCCCTTTACCACTGCCTGCCAACGCCTGAAGCACGCACTCCCAGATTCCAGATCCACCCCTTCCTCCGCTCAGGTACGTTCATCCTCTCACAGATGCGCTCGCCATTCCACCACCTGCCAGCAATGGAGCCACGCTCTCCCAGATTCCAGATCCACCCCTTCCTCCGCTCAGGTGTGTACACTGGTTCGAAATGAGACTCTATCCCAGGCTCTGTCTCCTTCCACCCTACTCTACAGCCACCCCCCTGCGTACTGCCTTGCTTGTCCGCTCTCCACGCTGCCCCACTGGGCAGTGGGTTCACGGACGCTCTCTCTTCCACTCGCGCCTGCACACCCATCACTACCTCCACCCCAGCAACTACCCTGGACTGTCTTTCTCCGTTTCCCCTCTAATAATTCATTTCCAGTGTCCCTTCCATTCCTCCATCCTTCTTACCCCCATACCATCCCATCTCGTCCCATCCCATCCCGTCCCATCCCAGTGTCCCAGGCTATGATACCCCAGTGGCTGTGGACACATGAGCGATCGCTCTTCCACTTGCGCCTGCACACCAACCACTACCTTCTCACTCCTCTCCTCTTTTCCTTGTCCCTTCATTCATCCCAGTGTCCCAGGCAACATTACCCCACTGGCTGTTGACGCACGAAAGATCGCTCTTCCATTCACGCCTGCACACCCACCACTACCTTTTCTTCTCTCCCGTTCTCTCCCTTTTTCCTTGTCCACTCATACATCCAAGTGTCCCAGGCAACAATACCCCACTGTGATCGCTCTTCCACTCTTGTCTGCACACCCACCAATTCTTTCTCCACTTTCCCACCCCCATATCCCTTCCCATCCCTTCTCAGTGTCCCAGGCAACGATACCCCACTGGCTCTGGACGCACTTACGCTTGCTCTTCCACTCGCGCTTGCACACCCACCACTACCTCCACCCCAGCACCTACCTCGTCTTGTCTCTCTTCCGTTCTCCTTTTCTTCCTGTGCGTCCCAGTGTCCCAGGCTACGCTACCCCACTGGCTGTGGACACATGAACGCTCGCTCTTCCACTCGCGCCTGCACACCCACCACTACCTCCACCCCAGCACCTACCTCTCCCTCCCCTTCATCTTCTCCCGGGAGAATTCGGACAATAGCGACGCGCCACCTGGCCACGTGGAGGCCGAGGACGTGACAGCTGGCAGCTGCTCAGTGGTGCTGCCGCCCCGCCTGCTGTCCCCCCCGCTGTCCTCCTCCCCGTCCCGCGCCGCTCCTCCCGTGCTCCACTCTGCTGCTTCTGCTGATTTCGCCGGTGCTGATGATGCTGATACTGCTGCGGTTGGCTGTGCTGGTGATGTGGCTGGTGCTACTCGTGGTAGTGGTAACCGCATGGCGGCGAGCGTAACGGATGACTTAAGGGAGCCGCTGTGGGGATATGACGAGGAGATGGAGGACCCTGAGCTGGTGAGTGGCTGTCTTGCATGGTAACATGGGTGCTCGTTAGTGGTAACCGCATGGGGAAATGGCATGGGGAAACGGCAGGTATAGGAGGAGCTGAGGGAGCCGCTGTGGGGATATGACGAGGAGATGGAAGACCCTGAGCTGGTGAGTGGGCGAGGGGGGGATGTGGGCTTGTCCTGCTTGTTACATTGCCCGTGGTGGTGGTAACCGCCTGGCATCGAGCGTAAAAGATGAGCCGAGAGAGTCCCTGTGGGGATATGACGAGGAGATGGAGGACCCTGAGCTGGTGAGTGGTATGGGCCTGTCCTGCTTGTTACATCGCTCGTGGTAGTGGTAACTGCATGACGGCGAGCGTAACCGACGATTTGAGAGAACCGCTGTGGGGCTATGACGAGGAGATGGAGGACCCTGAGCTGGTGAGTGGACGAATGGTTGACGCAAGTAATCCATGCATGTTTTCATGGGTGCATGATAACATGATAAGGTAAAATGTATATATATATATACATATATATTCGTTTATTCAAGTGGAAGCACTTAAAATTACTTTATTCTGTGGAAGCACTTCGTAATGCACCACAGCACAGCATGTTGTGTGCACTGCGCTATACCCCTTAGCTTTCTTTCTTGGTTCCCATACCCCATGCTCACACCTCATGGCACCTCTCTCATCTCTCAGCAAACCTCTTTCCCACCTTCCCGATGCTCCATCTCCTATAACCAACTCTAACCCTTTTACGCCTTTCCACCCCACTCCACCCCCCCCACCCCCTTCCACCGCACTGCACCATCCAGCGCCCCTGGACCTTTGCCGGATTCTGCGAGTACTTCATCAAGTTCCCGCTCACACTGCCCCTCCTCTGCTCCATCCCGGTCCACCACAAAGACGAGTGGTCCAAGCCCTTTGCAGTCGCCTCCTCCCTCCTCTCCCCCCTCCTCTTCACCACCTTCGTCCTTGGTGCTGATTCCGACCACCTCGTCTTTATCCTCGCTGCTTCCCTCGGGGTTTTCCTCGCCTGTCTCACTTACTACACAACGGAAGAGGAATCCCCACCGCAGTCCTTTCTACCCGCTTTACTCTGGGTAACTGCCAGCTTTGCCATGTCCGTCGTCTGGTTCTACGCCCTCGCGAACGAACTCGTCGCGCTCCTTGTCTCCCTGGGGGTAATCCTCGGAATTTCTCCTCCGATTCTGGCGCTGACCGTCCTCGCGTGGGGTAATTCCGTCGGGGATTTAGTCGCTAATTTGTCCTTTGCTGCCAGTGGCGACCAATCACGGCTGCAAATCGCCTGGTCGGGCTGCTTCGCTGGGCCTCTTTTCAACACGCTGGTCGGCCTGGGCTTGTCTTTAGTGCTCGCCTGTTGGTCTAGATACCCTGAACCTTACGTGGTGCCTGTGGATCACACCTTGCTCTCCACCCTAGGGTTTCTCTTTCTCGTTTTGCTCTTTGTGCTGGTTCGGCTGGGTTGGTTGGGAGAAAGAGCAGGGGATGCTGTGAATGGGATAGGAGGAAGAGGTGGGATTGGGAGAGGGGACAGGGCAGGAAGCAGGGGGATAGGAGTGACTGGGGGTAGCACTGGTGGGTATGTCAGAAGTGGGGGGTTTGGTAGCAGCGGCAGCAGTGGCAGCAGCATAGGGAGGGGAAGCTCTGGTGGATATGGGAACAGAGGAGTGGTGTTGGATAAGTGGACAGGGGTGGTTCTTGTGGCAGCTTACTGTGTGTTTTTGTCTGCACGATTGCTGACGGTTTTAGGGGTGCTCCCACCGCTGCCGCAATGGTTTACAGTTCTATAGTGTGTCTGTATAAATGAGTTGGTTTTACATAGTAGGCATTTGGTGCTCTCATCTGATTTCAACAAAAAAGACCATAACTTATTTGTGTTTCGAGTAAAAAGTACATAATTAAATTAATTTTTTTCTTCCATGGACGTGTGCGTCTAGTGTAGTGGTATCATAGTACCCTCCCACGGTACTCACCGGGGTTCGATTCCCCGGATGCGCAGGCGGGATTGCCTTTCAGGGTTTTTGGCCACTGGATTCTATTTTCCATGACAGCATCTGTCGCGCCGTTGGCTTTCTTGTCCACCGCCGTTCACGCTGTTACCTCGACCGACTTGACTCATAAGCTGACGACCTGATAGCTTTCACAAACTCGCGATTAGCAGGGACACGATTGCGACTGTACGGTTCGCCGTGGCACTACGAGTCGAAGGCTGGAAGCCTTTGGACTTAATAATGATTGAAACGGCGTTGGTGTGCAAACCAAGCTGGTATCAACAACGGTTTGACATCATTCGCGCTATACTTCAACGCCTAGACAACTAGCTCCGTAGGAAGCTTTTCAGTCGACTCAAAAACAAACCGAGCTGGTGTCAAACCGAGTAGGTGAAGACTGGATGCCGCACATCATTCGTGCTGTGCTTTAACGCCACGACAACTAGCTCCGTAGGAAGCCGCGTAGAATACGTAAGCGGTGGTGGTGACAGCGACTCGTACTGTTTAGTAAGCGCTGTTGGTCCTTTTCGGGCTGATTTGTAGGTGCGTGTAGGTGCTTGTAGGTGCTCGTAGGTACTTGTAGGTCCTAATCGGTGCTGGTGGGGTGCGATGGAGTATGAAGCCCGATCCGCAAGAGACGGCGCATGGTAAGGCGAGTGGGGTATGGCGAAGGAGATTAATACATATGGGTACATGGTGCATGTTGCTTGTTAAGGAGATAGGTGCATGACGGTTCTTGACGGTTCTTGACGGTGCATGACGGTGCATGGTACATAATCAATAATAATAGGGCGTGCTGTATGGTATAGGCAGAGTGGTGTTGGTGTATATTGTTTTGTGTTACGCGTTACCACCCATTCTTGTTCCATTCCTCCTCGTTTTGTCTCCTCATCACAAATTTCCATTCATTTTCACCATTCCGGACCATTTGTACTCATTCTCACCCATCCCAACCATTCTTTCAAGGTACGACGTGGCAAGCCTCTTGGCACATCGGAAGACCGAATCCGGTGAAGAGGTGAGTCAGCAAGGGGGTTAGGTGAGTCAGCGAGGGGATATGGTGAGTCAGCAGGATGTTCTGTTGTCTCAATAAGTAGAAAGGAATGAGTCAGCGCAGATGAATTGCTGCACTTGTCTCTTCTTGCCTATTTCCCATTATCTTCGCGCTTTCCTGCTCCCCTTTCTCCCCAACCTCGCCCCTCTCCGAAGTGCTGGTGCGCTCCATTATCTTAGCAGATGAGGAGGACGAATGGGTATGGGCCCCTCCCCTACCGTCTTGCCTGCCTAATAACAAGCTGTCCGCCTGCTACTGCCTGAAACAAGGGTGGTTTTGAGACGACTCAAAACCACCCTTCTTGTAGTACACTCCAACTCCAGCATAGATGCGATCGACTCAAAACCACCCTTCTTTCAAGTGGCTCCCCTGCCGTCTTGCCTGCCTAGTAACAAGCTGTCCGCCTGCGACGTGACTTTGACTCAAGGTGACTTTTGAGTCGACTCAAAAGTCACCTCCCCACTGTCTTGCCTGCCTGAGAACAAGCCGTTTGCCTGCCTCTGCCCGAAGCCCGCCTGCTGGCTCTACACACCCTTTTTCCCAACCTCCCTCCCCTATCCCTGCTTCTGCCCCTCCCTCTTCCTCCCTTATGCACCCACACGCAAGCAGCAAGTGCTGGTGCGATCTGATGCTTCCGCCATGCCGTGCTGCCTGGGAATGATATTTGCTGCCAGTCACCCTCCGGCCTTACTGCCTGTTTCCCTGCCTCCTCTCCTCCCTCTCCTCCCTCTCCTCCCTCTCTTCCCTCTCCTCCCTCCTCCCCCCCTGCTCCACCCCCACCCGAGCAGCAAGTACTCGTGCGATTCTTCGGCTTTGCAGACGAGGAGGGAGGACGAGTGGGACTCAGCCTCCCATGCCCCATGCATTCCCCTCCCTCTCTTCCCTCTACACATCCCACCCCACCCCCCTTGACAACCAAGCAGCAAGTGCTGGTGCGATTCTTCGGCTTTGCAGACGAGGAGGACGAGTGGGTGTCTGCTCGTTACTCGTGCCCCAGTGATTCCCCTCCCCTGCCCCTCTCTCCCCTTTAACCCCCTCCCCTCCCAAGCAGCAAGTGCTGGTGCGATTCTTCGGCTTTGCAGACGAGGAGGACGAGTGGGTGTCGGCTCGTCTCTCCGTGCCCCAGTGATTCCCCTCCCCTGTCCCTCTCTCCCCTTTAACCCCCTCCCCTCCCAAGCAGCAAGTACTCGTTCGCTTCTTCGGCTTTGCAGACGAGGAGGACGAGTGGGTGTCGGCCCGTCTCTCTGTCCGCCCGCGCTCCCTCCCCTGCGAGGGCTCCGAGTGTGTTGCCGTGCTGCCTGGGGACGTCGTGCTCTGCTTCCAAGAAGCTTCCGACCAGGCGCTTTATTTCGATGCGGACGTGCGGGATGTGCAGAGGAGGCGACATGATGTGAGGGGGTGTAGATGCCGCTTCTGGGTGCGATACCGGCATGACAATACCGAGGTAAGGGACGTTGGAGAAGGGCAGGTTCTGTTTGCGAACGTGCGGGATGTGCAGAGAAGGCGGCACGACGTGAGGGGGTGTCGGTGCCGGTTCTGGGTGCGATACCGACACGACAATACGGAGGTGAGAAGGAAGGTGGAATCGGCACTAGTGCAGAGGAGAAGGTATTATGTGATGCCGCGGTTCTGGGCTGGGTGCGATACCGACACGACAATACCGAGGTGAGAAGATACGTGGGTATTGGGTGGGCAGCATGGAGCGCCGCTCTGTGTGCGGGTCGTGCAGAGGAGATGGTATTATGTGATGCCGGTTCTGGGCTGGGTGCGATACCGCCGTGACAAACACCGAGGTGAATCATCTCCCTTTAGCCCAGCCCCCCTGTCACTCACATCTTTTGAGACGTCTGTTGAGTTTGAGACGTCTTAAAAGACCCCAGCCCCCCTGTCACTCACATCTGTGACTCTTGCGTGTTTGAAAATGGCTCGCCATGAGAGCGAGTTGTGAGTCGACTCAAAGAACGGCTCCAAGCTCAGCATGAGGTCGTGCTGCGCCGCGCCGGTACCGGGTGAAAGGGGATAACCCTCTCTTCCCCCCCCCCCCCCCCCCCCCCCCCCCCCCCCCCCCCCGCTTCTTCCCGTCCTTCCCTTTGCTCCCCCCCCATCAGGAGGTGGTACATCTGCGCAAGATTTGTCGAAGGACCGAGACAGAATACAGAGTGAAGGCAGCACAGCAGGTGGCTAAGGCAGGAAGCCTCCCCTTTCCCTCATTTCCCCTGTTCCCCCCATCACAAACTGGTGCCTCTGTGCTGTGCAAGATCTGCCGAAGGCCTGAGACAGAGTATAGAGTGAAGGCAGCACAGCATGAGAACTCACCCCCCTTGCCTTTCCACCCTCCACCCCCCTGCTTTCCCCATCAGGAGGTGGTACCGTTGAGAAAGATCTGCCGAAGGCCCGAGACAGAGTATAGAGTGAAGGCAGCACAGCAGGTGGCTAAGGCAGTGGGGGAGCAGAGGGGAGGAGAGGGAAAGAAGGCTGGTGTGAAGCAGAGTAAAGGGAATTAGCTGGACTGAAGAGTTCGTGTGGTACAGGATAGATTGCAGATTGAAGGCAGCGCAGCAGATTGCTAAGGCGGTGAGGGGAGGGGAGGGGAGGAAGGGGGGCGTGAAGCAGAGTCAAGGGAATAGCTCCAAGGATTCAAGTTGTACAGAGTACAGCAGGTGGTCAAGGCAGTGGGGTAAGAGGAGGGGAGGAAAGGAAGGGGGGGGTATGAATTAGAGGGTAAAAGGAATGAGCTGGATTGGAGGATTCAAGTGGTACGCGACACATTATAGTGAAGGCATGTACCTGAGAACAATAGAAATCTTGTACAAATTGTTGATTACATGGGGATGTAACTGAACGCAGCTCCATAAAAAAAATTCTTCTCGCAGCACATGGGGATGTAGCTCAGATGGTAGAGCGCTCGCTTAGCATGCGAGAGGTATGGGGATCGATACCCCACTTCTCCACATTTACGTTTTGAACCGGGGTATTTCCTTTAGTCGAAATCACCGCTCTTGATGACTGCGCGGCTGATGAAGGTGAAAGCACTATACAGCTCTTTATCTTAAATATTCAAATAAAACTAGGGTGTTACCTACAAACGCGTACGATATTCCCATGGGCGGCGATCAGTGATCATCCTCGGGTGGATGGAGCAACAGGTACGGCCATTCATGGGCCATGCCATGGCGTCTTCCTGTTCCTTCGTATCATCTCACAGCTATCATTGATCATTGATCATTGATGGTTACGTATCTCATTTCTCGCAACAGCATATCACGATTCGGCATGTCATTGATGTGTTGCGACTGAGTGGATTAGGGAGTCTGTAAACTGCTCATTTATTGTTGCCTGTGTAACCTACTACATTGTCATTGGAATGACTCGTGGTGTCTGAATTAGGTCAAGCGGTTACCACGTAGCCGTCGAGACGGACTAGAGTACGCAAGCGTCGGCGCATCGCATTCTCTTCCTTTCTTCTTTCTTTCCGTGCGAACGTGAAGGACAGGCGAGCGTCCGACGCTCGTAGGAGGTGTTGCGAAGGGCAGGCGAGCGTCAAGGCGTCGTAGGAGGTGTTGCGTGCGACCGTCGCGTCGCAGGAGCTCGTCGCCTTCCAATTTCGTCGCATATGCGAGTGTTAGCCACCGTCGAGACGACGTGAAAATCCTGAGCTTGAGGATAAGCCGCTGCTGCTTTTGGACCCGCCTTCCCAAATGAGACTACACGCGATAGTGAAATCTTATAACGAGTGCCAGCTGTCGCTGACTTACAGTATCGCGGCGACAATGCGGGTGTAACTCATTTTTCCGGTCTATACATAGGAAAGTGAAAAACGTGGAAAAAACTTTACACGCATTGTTTAACTTTGCGTGTAGCTGCCGTCCAAAATGCCGCAATCATCGCCGCAGCTGTACTCCCGGGTGCCGCTGACCGAGCTGAGCGTCGCTGACCTGGACACCACGGAGCTTATATCGGTGGACCTTGAATCGAGTACGAGGTGAGAGCTTGTATCGGTTTAGCCATTTCATCAGCCGTTTCACCACCACCCTCATTCCACCCCTTTGCCCTTCTCCTATCCAATAGCACCAAACACTGAGATCCCAGTCGGCCATAAGCAAAGGCGTAGGTGAAGGCATGCTCCATCAGCAAAGAAATCATGATGAAGTCGTGCTATCCATGGCATGGCATGCCAAGGAGAAAGCAACGATCATTGACACTCCCAGTCACCCCTTCTTCCCACCAGCCAAGGCACACTGAGTGCGCAATCGACTGTGAGCGAAGGCTATGGCTCGCATGCCTATGGCTCGGAAGGGTCAGCAGCAGCGGAAAGAGGGCGGGAGGAGAGGCTCGGGGAGAGGCACGGGAATCACCATCTGGAGCTGTTTGAGAGTGACAGGCTGGTGGATGCTGTGGGGGTGAAGAGGTGAGACAGTGTGAGTGAATCGATGTGAGGGTGGGTGACTGCACGGCCTGGAATCACCATCTAGCGCGTGGCTCCACTCACTAAATAAAATGGAGGTCGAAAGTCAAAGTATTGAGGAGGCTTATATGCTCATTTTTGAGGCGCCTCAAAATGAGGCGTATGTGCTCATTTTGTTGTATCACCTCATTCCTCGCCATCCCACTCCACACTATTGCAGTAACCGCATTCCACCCCTTTCCACACCATCCCATATCACCTCATTCCACGCCATCCCACGGTACCACACACACGCTTGATCCCTATGATAGTCCCCATTCTACAAGTCCGACTTGCTCTTGTACCATCTGCAGTGTCCTCTCCAGTCCTATGGAGACAATCTGTTCCCACCCATTCCATCTGATTCCATACCATGCCACCACACCACACCACACCACACCACACCACACCACACCACACCACACCACACTACAGGATGGGCACGGCCTTTTCCCCCAAGAGCCCAAACGACTCCGAGACTGAATCGCTGCAAGTGCATCGTGATCACGATAATGTGCGTGATGCTGGTCGGTTGGTTGGTCGGTCGGTTGGTTGGTTGGTTGGTTGCTTGCTTGCTTGCTTGCTTACAAGGTGAATTTTGAGTCGACCCAAAAGTGCATCACGACAATGTGCGTGCTGCTGGTTGGTCACACCGATGGTTTCATTTGACGTTTCTCTCTATGTCCCTTTTTATATTTACTCGATTGTTCTCGTTGGGGTTCCATCGAATCGATGTTTCGCTCAGGACTTCATGGCATGTCTTATTCGAGGTTTCGTTTGCATGTTTCATTCAATGTTTCAACTCAACCAATGTTGTAAAAATTTTCTCTGACAATTTCTTTGAAGCATCCAACTTTACTCCCAATTACGTAACCCTTCCCCCTCTCCCATCTTTTTTTGACTTCCTCCCTCTTCCTCTCTCTCCATTTCCCCCTGGCCCCATCACAGGGCAAGCTAAGCATGCGCACAGGGCCATGTTTTTTAGACTTCTCAAAAACCGCACAGGGGCCATGCATCCCGTGTGTTCAGGGCACATGTATGTTGTGAGTGAGTGAGGTGCCTTGGCAAACCCCTTCGCTCCCTTCTCTCTCTCCCACTTCCCCCCCCTTCCCCGTCTCCCAATCTCCCTTTCCAGGCCCCATCACAGGGAAAGCTGGGCATGCTCACGGGGGTGTACATCCCATGTGTGCAGAACAGTCACGCTGAGAATGAGTGAGGTGCCTCAACATACCCTTTCCCTCTCCTCCTTCCTTCTCCTCGCCCCTCTCCAGGCCCCATCACAGGGAAAGCTCGGCATGCTCACAGGGGTGTACATCCCATGTGTGCAGAACATACTGGGAATCATTTTCTACATTCGCCTCTCCTGGTGGGTGTCTTACTGGCTGTCGTGCTGGGGTTGGTGGATTGGGTCCCACTTGTCGGTTGTGGGCTTAGTTGGTATTGTACATTTACGGGGGTTTACGTTTACGTGACTTTACGTAGTAAACTTACGTTTACTTACGTGGGCCCAAAATGGCTTTACGTTTACGGTCAGCCAGAAACATTTCTGGCTGCCCGATAAGTTAAGAAATCATCGGACTAAGTGGCTGCATGGGAAGCTCCTAATCTATCACTAGCTTGGTTCTTCTACGCCCAAGCGTGTTAGCACATTATTACATCAACTTACAGATGCCCCAAATCTACGCGGACATGTCACAGCCTCTCCCACCTCATATCAGTCAGATTTTCTCGTTTAGCAGACAAAACTTTTTTTGCCCTGCCCGTGCGACTTTACGTAAAATTACGCGTAAGAAAACGTGAAGGTAAACTCAAGCGTAAGTTTACGTTTACGTGACCCAAAAAAACGTAAAGTACCAACTAAGGTTGTGGGGGGTCCCACCCACCTGTGCGGCTCACAGGGGTGTACATCCCATGTGCGCAGAACATACTGGGAATCATTTTCTACATCCGCCTTTCCTGGTAAGACCTTACTTGTCTTTCGGTTGTGGGGGTCCCACCTGTGCTGCTCACAGGGGTGCACTGTGAACATACTGGGAGCTTTCTTCTCTACATTCTCCTGCCGTGGGGGGTCCCACCTGTCGCCTTGACAGGGGTGTTCAGATCCAAGCCCAAGGCCCATCCTGCAGGATCCAAGCCCAAGGCCCATCCTGCAGGGTCCAAGCATCCTGTTCCAGCAGACCCAAGCCCTGGACCCTCGAATCATGATCCCTGATGCTTCATTCTTGTGCCCCGTGCGCCGTGCCCCGTGCCCCGTGTGCTGTGCCCCGTGCGCCGTGCCCTGTGCCCCATGCCCCGTGTCCTGTGCCCCGTGTCCTGTGCCCCGTGTCCTGTGCCCCGTGCGCCGTGCCCTGTGCATGGCATGGCATGCCCTGTGCCTTGTGCATGGTATGGCATGGTATGGTATGGTATGGTATGGTATGGTATGGTATGGTATGGTATGGTATGGTATGGTATGGTATGGTATGGTATGGTATGGCATGGCATGGTATGGTATGGTATGGTATGGTATGGTATGGCATGGTATGGCATGGTATGGCATGGTATGGTATGGTATGGTATGGTATGGTATGGTATG